ATAAGCACAACAGAAAACCTTCGCATCCATCTGGATTATCCACATTGCTTTTATCAAGGAAAAGACATATCTGGCATTTGAATAACCATGAAACAAGAACACGTAGCGGAAGAAAAAAAACCCAGATCTTCAGTCGTCAGTTGAAAATGTTTTATCCCAGGTGCGAGCATGGTAAAACCCAACAATTTCGGTTTTCATGTCATAGCCATTGTATCTTTAACTTAATCAATGCCGCCCATTGACTTTTTTTGATTGAATCAAAGTCATATAATTTCCATATAGCTTCCTCCGCTCCTTTGTCTATGTTTTGTATTAGTTTAGTGGTAATTAAGACAAATTGACTCCAACAGGTTTATCTTATACAGACAGATTTCCATTTATTTCCGTTTACAAATTCATTATGCTATTACTCAATAGTGTTAGTGTTAGTCATGTTTTATGTAATGAATTTGTTAAGTATTAGAGTACACGTTAGATTTAGATTAAAAAAATTGGGAGGGGTGTGTGAAATACGTGTGACTGAGAGGGCAGACGTCAACACGTTTTGATGTAAATCCACATTAAAACAATAGTTTGCCAGGAAAAGTAATATACGCTCACGGGCAGCTTTGATTTTAAATAGAAATATTTGGCAATAGTAACAATTACCAGTATTAAATACTCAACCTTCAGTCATACACTTCTTTTGAACTTTTTGAGATGATACTGAAAAATATTACCATGTTGTCAAAATCCGGCATGAATCAACACTAAAAGTTGAATGCGTTTAGATTGAGCTCAATAACTCATGTAAAATAGTTCCCATTTTTTTTTCTACAAGGTACATCCATGGGTGATTATAGACAAAACAAATAAGTTTTGAGAAAATCTGGCATGAATTGAGCCTTCCAGTGATTACAAGCTAAAAATTTAATGCGTTTCCAAGATTACTCATAAAATATTTTTTAGATTTTTGATAGGGTTCATTCTTGGGTGATACCAAACACTCACCCTAAGTTTCGTCAAAATTTGTCAAGAATTGTGCCTTCTTGAGTGTTAACGAGCTAAAACTTGAAAGCATTTCCAAGCACAAGGTTAATAACTCACACTTAATATTTTCGATTTTTAATAAGGTTCATGCTTGGGTTATGATTTGGCTGAAAACCTTGTGGTGGTTCTGCGTGTCGTACCTGCGAACATGTACCTATTTATCATTTCTTTAAAAACAATAATGACTGATCAAATTCCATGCGGAGACCAAAATCTAATTTACGTAATTAAAAAATACGACATACAGTATATTGGAGAAACAAAGAACGCGCTGCGAATTCGTTTTATCGTTACGATATGGTACATGGCAAAAACAGACCAATTTCCAATCACTTTAACCAACCCGACCATTCCATTGAAGACTTGTTGATTATGCCAATTGAAAAGATACAACCTATGCATAATATCAAGCAAGAGCAAAGAGTTTACTTATTGGATGGACCAACTGTATATCGCAATGGCTTAAATATTCAATACGACAATCAGATAATACCCTTCTTTACCACCTAGAATCACACTGCCACTACTGCCTTATATTATGAGAAACCACTACCAGAATCTCCAAGACCAATATCCTCATGTCTACAACAAGAGACTTGTTACAGCCTACAGAAGAAACAAAAATTTCAGTAATATCCTAGTCCATGGTAGACTTAACCCTCAATAGTCTTCTGACTTCTTTCCTTTTGAATCTCCTACGATGACTATTCATATGAATGATCCTTATTTTCTTATAGATTTTGTTTCACAATACAGGTTTTATCTTGAGATGATTATTGATATATCAGAAGACTATTCTATTTTCAGCTATTTCAGTTAAAGAAATGATACTACCACAGATAGTATTACAGAGACATCCTTAGTTAACATATCTAATTATCTTAACCTTTAACTTGTTTTATCATAAATCTTTACTTTGTGACCTTGGTCAGTGCTTTCAGGAGACTATGTTCTCATCATGATCTAACACACGAAGTTTCGTCAAAATCCAACGTTAATTGTGCTTTCTAGAGAGTTAAGGAGCTAAAAAAACTTGAACGCTTTTTCAAGAACAATGGCAATAACTCAAACTATATAGTTTTAGATTTATCTGATTTCCTTTAGAGTTCATCCGTGGGGGATTACCAACACTCACACCAAGTTTCATCAAAATTTGTCGATAATCGTGCCTTTTAAAATGTTTTGGGGCTAAGAAGGGCAATAACTAATACTAAACATTTTTCGATTCTTCTGATTTTCAAAAGGGTTTCATCCTTGGGTGATTAAAAAACACTCACATCAAGTTTCGTCAAAATCCGTCAGGACAGGCGGACCGACGAACATGGGTGACGCCAATTCATGTGGGCGTATATCATCTGATATAATAGATAATTTGATTTTTGTTTTATACCAAAGGGTTATATTTGGTCGAGCAACACCATAATTATGTAATTTTACAATGGAACAAGAATAAGGTAAGGTTGCAATAGATTGTACCATTATCATCTACTATAACATAATATAGCTTATGAAGTTGACCAATAAATCATTATCGAACATGCTGACAAATGCCTATGAAATGTACATGTATTCAATATTCATAATTAAATTATGTACTTCAATGCAATAAACACGATATTAAATTATTATGAAGGTTGTACTGTAACCATTAATAATTGTTACTTTATGCTCATGGTACAATGTTGTCAGCTATTACAGATAATGGATGTTAATTTTAGATCCATCTTACTCATACGCCATTCAGCTGTCTTACTTCAATTAGTTGCACGTCATAGAATCTTTCTGATGATAATCTGCTTATAGTTTACTCTCAAATCTTTTAAAGCTTACATAGTCACTGTCCGACATGAACCGTTGTCCATACTGGACTAGTCTATTTCGATTCTAAGGGCTGATTATTATTAGAATGAAAATGCTTTAAAATGTTGAGAGTCAAAATCTCAAGTACACACTACCATGACCTTTCACGAAAAATGACTATTTGTGCAGGACCTAAATGAAAGATCTGACGTGACGATTTGAATCTCGACTGGTACCACAACAACTTATGAATTTCGTGTGGTCTAGCATTATATACTTGGATTCTTTTTGATTGTTTGACTTCTTTGATAGCTAACGGTCTCACAAATATTTAGACATACTTACAAACCATTTAATCTGGTGACACAAAATGTATTTCTAGGATTTTGTGTGAAAATCAATAAAATATTTTAAGGATGAATTACTAGAAAACATGCATTCCCATTAAATGTTATGATTATTGATTTTCTTCACAGGTTTTTATGATGAGCACATCATCTCGATCCGCACACTATTCTCATTAAAGTTCCTTGATATACAGCATGGAATCCGCCTGTTTCAGCACATTACAGATACCCAGGTTTAGATTCTGTGAGGTTGTATCGTTTTACGATCAATAGCCCAGTTTGACATTCTAGCCATAAATACATAATCTCTACAGTGTTAACAACACTATGATATACTGCTCTTATTTAATCAGCCAATACGTCATTTCCGGTGATTTAAGATTGAAGCTTAACCTAAAGATCAGGCAATAAAATTGTATATCTCTTTTATTAGTGGTGAATAATGTGACATGGAGCGTTGTTCTTAGATTTAGTAGCTCGTTCCATCAAATTTAATATAGTAATAGATCCCGTTTTAACAAATTTAGTCTTGGAATTGTTACGGAACATCGAACGATCATCGTTCATAAAGCCATGTGCACACGAGCCGAAAGAACAAGAAAAGCAAGAAAATTTGTATAAACAGAGAGAAATAAAAAAACAAAAAGAATGACGCGTAAAACACAAGAAAATTGAAGTAACTAGAGACGGCCATAAAAAAAAGAGAAGCAAAAGAATAGGTCCCATAAATAGTCATAACAGGTTTTGAAAACCGTACATTCATTTGAATAATGGCGTTTGATGGCTATTGTGATAATCATCTATAGAGATAAACAATTGATTTGACTTCATTGTTGTATGATTTCTATTAATACATGGTATTATTTCTATCTATTATTACAAAAATAAGGTTAAACATCAACTATTAGTAAATACTGCCGCAATAAAGTTTGACTTTAATCAATTTCCATATATATAATAAATCTGACACATTTAATAGTAAAATAGTTCGTATCGTGGATATTCAAATTAGGAGATATGGCCTTCTTATGTCCAAGTCACTTTCCTAGAGAATGCAATTTCAGCTACCAGAATCACTTCCTCACTCAGAAGGCACATAACTATTTTACATCGATATATTACGACTTTAAGAACATTTAGGCCTACCTGAATTGTATAGTTCTTTAATAGTTCTATTTAGAAATAGTTTCAATACTATATGGCAAAGGGGGGTTAACTATTTTTTTAGTTTCAATATCCAGACAACAAATAACTCGTATCAGATCTTAAAATAAATTCAAAGTATCGATATCACCAATCACTTTTATATTCATTTATCGGCATTTCTCAATACTTATAACAGATTGAAAACTAAAGAATCCTTCTGTATATGTATCGATTTGATTTAATTTTCGATGAAAATTTGAGCGAATTTAAATTTATTTACGTAAGGGCATGCCACACTGCAGTCTACAATCCTAGTAACGAATTCCAGCCTTTTACTGCATAAAATCAATGGATTTCATTGGCAAGACATTTCATACCATCACACCAAAAAATATTGTCATGCATTGTTTCATAGAATATAATAACAAAGTTCGGTATGGATTTTGTTAATGTATATCGTATGACGTATGAATTATAAGAAGCTTTTATTTAAACCAAAACAAACCCTTCTAATTGTTATAATCTTTCACTTTTTTGCCAGATTAGTAATGAACCGGACTTGATCCACGTTGATAGTCTGGATTATCGATAACTTTCCTATCATAATTAGAGATTTTCTCTATGGGGGTGCAGACGTTATGTCAATAAAAGAGATCCATTTCGTATTCAGATCAAATTCAGAGGACTCAGAAGGAACTTTAAGTTAAACATCAAGCGTTTTGACATTCAGATAACTTTTTCGGAATAATTTACCTTAATATTTATCCAATTCAATATTCGTGTTTGCTGGAATATTGAAATTGTTAACAGAGTGACTGACATACGTAAAATACTTTAAAATGCAAACTATGGCATCAGTGATAGGTGTTTTAGTGCTTTGTTTCATTGGTCTAGTTATAGGTAAGGTATCATGCTGAAAGTAAAATCAAATATTCGACCCGGTTGACAAATCTTAACTCACGGGAGAATCCAAGGGAGCAATTTCATGTCTACCGTATTGATCTTGACGTGTGAATGCTGTGGCTGATTTCCAGATTCAAGAGAGTTCCATGGATTTTGTATGGTTGATACATCATCATCTCTCGATTTGATCAGTATAATGTTGTTGTTTGTTTTTCTAGGGTTGGTACCTAAACCAGTAGAAGAAAGTTATTGTCCAGTCAACTGGCGAGAGTTCGAAGGTCATTGTTTATTTCGGCCAAGTATTGAACCCGACGACATATGCCATAGTTTAGGTGCCAAATCCGTTTTTAATCTCTTCTGTATGAAAGGTAAAGTGTAAGAATATTATCAATCTACCATAACATAATATTATTGCATATATAGAGTCGTTTAATTTTGACCATCCGGCTGATAGAATTTGAAAAATGAAATCTTGTGTATGGGAGGTTTTAATATGAACATTAAAAGCTCTCTCAGGTTATGTTTCCTTAAATGTATATATTCAATAAAGATACCTGTATATAAATACTATGATTACTGTTCTTGAAAGAAAATAAAGAAGCAAAAAAGCCTTAACATAGAGCTTTCACAATTTTTAATAATACTTTTTAATATAATTTTTCGTAATATATACATTCATTTATGTTATGCAAATCAAGTCAAATATCACAAAATTTGTATTTGATTAATAATGATATTTATGTGCTTTTTAAAGTTGAACCTTATTTTTCAGGAAAACTCTTGAGGCCAATCGAGGAGCGCCCTTGTCCCACAAATTGGATGAAATTTCACCAACATTGTTTATATGTTCCAAGTTCAGATGCCAAGTCTTACTGCCCACTCCACAATGCCTTGGTTGTTTACGATTCTATCTGTATTAAAGGTCAAACAGGTATATCATTCTCTTTTGTAATAAAAAAGAATATGGTCATAATTGATGGAACACGATATATCGAACTATCAACTTCAGTATGGAGGATTATTTAAAGTCATGCGTCCGGTTTTTTTTCAACTAAAATGGGGACAGTCAACGTTTCATGGTCACTATAAGCATATTAATATACTTTGATAAAATCTGTAATTAGGGATTCCTTCTGGCGGTATAAATGTTTATTTAAAAATTGTAATTAAAAATTAAGTGACATTTTGGTGTTCTGGTAGGGTGAACATTTCACGAGAGAACTGTCACTATTTGCTATATAGCTATGTAATAGCAATATCAGTTAATATTAAATAATGATGTTAGAGGAGGCAGCGCGGGATATCGAAAAGTTGTGTGTTGAAATAGTTCTTACCGGTAATACATTTTGTAGACCGATATAGAAACGTAGTGTCTTTTAACACTATTGTAGTATGCGCTCTATAAATTTGTTTACCGAGTTCCTACAAAATCATTCCGACAAATTATCATTTCCAAAACAATTCGGTACAGACCAGCATGAGATAATTCGTCTTTATTGTATTTTTATTTCTAGATTTACTGAAATTGAAAGGAAAAAGTAAAGCTGTGAAAATTGCCAAAGTGCCTGATTCTTTAAAAGGTTAGATATTCACTTTTCACTTATTGACTTCCATCTTCCTTCATGCCACCTTGCTTTTCTCTGGGCTGTGACAGAAACCTAGAGCGTAAAACTCTATTTCATTTCTTTCATTTCATGAAATGCTTATAAATGCATTTGTATTTTCAATGCTGACTGGTGTCATGTATCATAGAGATTCGAAATAAGTTTATACCTTTTGTGTGAGACCAGTTATAGTTGCTTTTTGCAATATTCAGATTGACCAGAATGAGCAAAAACTGTTGCACCGTAGCCGATGTTCAAAGAATTTTTTGTTAATGAAAGCTTTTTGTTATTGTTTTCTTCCAGAAGAGGAGAGAGCATGCTGTCCTAATGGATTTGGAAAATAATTTTTTACTAGGACTAGACAAATTTTCTCCTAACAAAATAGCCGTCTATGAAAATATACATTTTGTGGTCCATGTTATGTATGATATATTTATTGATTGATATCTATTTAATAAATCTTTATGCAATTGAAAGAATCTTTGTGTTTTGTGTTTTCCAAGTCCCTGGGGTCTAATTGGTAGGAAAATAACAAAACTTAAGCAAAATTATTTCGCAAAGTAAGGTATTTGTCATTTTGGATGTATGTGGCCTACTATACTGCTGAAAATTGGTCATATTTGCTCACCTAGTTCCTATAACCTATGGCAGATTTTTGAATTTTGTTTTTTCTTAAATGTCCAGATAGTGAATGTGGATATTCCCTGCAAATTTCAGGTTTCTAGCTTTGTAACTTTTCAAGATAAAAATTTATTTGGATATTTAACCCTTGGTTGATTTTCGTGATTTAACATGGAAAGAGAAAGCAAATGAAATAGTGGTGGAAATGACACAATATTTAGTTGTAGTCTGAAACCATTAAGAAATAAGTAGGTCAAACAGTCTCGGTAAAGATCGGCAATCTTCGGTAACTTCCGGTTTATGCGCATTGATGTGGAAAAATCATGGATTAATCAGCGACTGTCGATCACTCTTTTCATGGATTAAAGATGTTCAGTTAGAGATAATTAGAAATTAACCGATTAAGGTAATTCTTCGATTATCCATCTTACTATTGGTCAGTCTATTTATACCGATCTGATACTTTTAACATCGGAAATAAGGCGTGTGAAACACCTCCATCCAAACGACAAAAACATAACAACAAAGCAGTTGGCCCTGTCTGGGTCGAAATGTTTACATTTTGATGGGTCGGTTATTTATAGATCAATATATCTTTATGGGTCAAAATGATATAATATGATATCATTTTTATCTCTTTATATTATTATCTTTACATTCCGCAATAGAATAAAGCACCCTGATTAATTGGTATGAAATGAATTTTAAGGTTTCCCTGTGACTGGACAGTCTGGGACTGATACTGCTAGAACTTTGGCTTCAATTTTAATGTCTTGAACATAGACCACATAAGGACAGGGATAGAGTAGGCCATATGTGGGCATGATAGTGATGACATGGGCAAGGTAACTTTGGATCTTGTATATGGATATATACAGGGACTGGGGGTAGGCTAGAGATTCAAGGCTCATAATACTGGTATTGACTTATTGATATCATCATCTAGATTATCTAGTTTAAGGATACAGGCTCATTAACCTGGTTATTTTGTACATTCAGAAAATAGTACATTTACTAATTTGTAGCATTAGTGCCAGTACCAGTACCAGTAGTCCTTTGGTACCTGGTAGGCTACAGTACTGAAAGGAATTTCTTCAGATTGTCATTGTAATTGGTTTTAGGAACTGACATCAGATGAAAAAGAAACATTCGTGGCTCTATCGGTACTGGTTATGTATATTAAATTCGCCATTCGTTTGACCAATCATACCTTAGCTAAGTTAATCAGTAGCCTGATATTGGTAGTTCACTGCTCAATATCCAAATTTGAGCCTTAAAATCCATTGCTAGTACTGCTGAAGACTTAACATAAGGCAAGACTAAAGACAAGCCCCAAAAAATGGGGAACCTGTCCCTTTAAAGACTTCAGAGTTATTTATTTGCTTTTTTACACCATCTTTTGGACATTGCACACTGCATGGTATTGCATATGCATTACATATTATTTGAAGGCTGGTAATTATAAAGTATATATTGACAAGCCTGAATCAGTTCCCCAAATCAATTAACCACCCATTATTTCTATTCCTGTAGATGATGATAGGCCTATATAGCCAACAAGACAAATTAAAATAAATGATTTTGGTAATGACTGACTGTAATTGATATAAACTGATATTGTAATGTAATAGGAGGAAATCAATTGCTATTAAGTCTATTTATAGAACTTCTAATCATTATTACGTTTTATATGTGATGTAAGACAAACCATCCAAACATGTTCTACAGCTTGCCTAGAATAAACATGGCAGCTAGCGTCTGGTAAGAAAAGGATAATATAACATGTAATATACCGGTACTAGAGAACAGTACAGTATTAGAATTTAATACTTATGAGGTTATTCTGAGGTGTCATGGCAGATTTGTAATTAGTCTTAAAACTTTAGTCATGTTGTTATAGATATTTTCTTTTATTACATTATGTCTACTTCTCAAGAGTTATTCTCGAAGCCAAGTTACCTATACACTACCCAACTCGCTGACTTGAAAGGGGTTCTCTTGCCATCACGAAGTTGCCATCTGCATTATATCTTTGCAGAATATAAACATCTCTATATTGAGAAGGTAAAAAAACCTGTTGCAAGGATAATGAGGTTTTCTTCGGCAATTAATGATATCATCATGAACACACATTAATTAAAACTTAAAATTCCTGTCATTTGAACAGGTCTCTAGAAGCCACCATAATAACATAGAAAGTTAAACAGCTGTTATTTTTTGTTATGGAACTTTAATTTCATAATTGTTTTATCTTCAATATGTTTGGTAAATGTAAGAAATTGTCTATATATGTCTAAGAAATGCTCATGTTGGATTAAAAGGATGCCAACCTATCCAAAACAATTACAACACTTTATGCAAAATTTCTTTTACAGGAATCAACAATGGAGAGCTTAACATCTCTGAATCTATGTAACACCAGATAAGTTGTGGTCTGTAGCTGTTTCCCAAGATGGGAAGTGCTTCATCGAAATTTAGAAAATATCTTCAGAGTGACAATGAGGTAGCAGCTTTACAGTTGTACCAGAATAATGGTGACTTACGCAAGGCACTAGATCCTAATTGTTCTTACGGGGACTCACATCAACATGAAACTCCTTTACATATATGTTCTCGGCATGGGATGAGATCATTACTCAGGTATGTATCACAATGAAACTGAATACGTTTATGATTTGAGAACTTGTACATACCAGTGCTTGATTTGTGCAGCTCACAAATGTTTAAAATAAGCAAATTCCCTACTTACTTTGAAACAACATTTATAACATGACAACTATTTGCCATTTTGACAAGCAATTCCAACAGATAGAAGATACATCCTCTAGGGATTGAAATTAACAGAAAGGAATTTCAGTCCAATTGTGTTTCTGTTTGTGATTGTATTTTTATATGCCCACATTATAATGTGGTCATATGTACACAATCGATCCATCTGATTTTTTTTTTTGTGGATCAATGTCGTTATGAAGATGATCCCTATCAATTTTCAGGATGATCTGATAATTTTTCACCAAAATATCATTTTCAACTTTGTGTATTCACTCTATTAGCCGTATAGTGCAACTTTTGCTCACACTTCAAGTAACAATTCTGTTGGTTTTTATATGCCCACACATAGTATGGAAGCATATTGTCGTCGGTCTGTCTGTCTGCCTGTTCACATTTGGCTCATGCTCACTCTACAGGCTACAAGTAATAATTTGTACTTGGTACTTGGGTAGGTGTATGTCACTTTGCTTCGCAAGGCTATCTTTTTTCTTATTAAAGGATCAAGAGACATTCAACCCATGGCAAGAAATCAATTTTTTTTTACTTAAAATGACCAAAAAATATTTGAATCTTTTAGAGTGTAGTAAAGAGCAGCCCTAAATCTTATAATTAATTGTGACTTGTCTTTAAAGACAACAATGATGATTCATATGTCTTCAAGTGTTTAAAGCTACCACTGGTTATATGTATATCTTTATTTGTAGGATATTCCTGTATGAGAAGGGAGGCAACCCCAATAAAACCAACAATCATAAAGAGACAGTATTACACTGTGTTTGTATGGAGAAGAATTCTCAGTTCTATAATGTACAGCGTAGAAGGTTAGATTGTCTAGCTATGGTATTAAAATGGAAGGGGGCTACTCTACAAGATGAGGAAGTTGAAAAAATTGACGTTGCTGCCTTGGATGAGGTATGTAATTATCAGGGTTTGCACAGATTCTTTATAATGGCACTAACAAATTGCTGGAATTCCTGTAATTCAACATGTAGCATTAAAAAACAATCAACATAGCAAGCAAGCCTTAACACTTGCACAAGACAAAATTTTCAAATCAGCAGTTTGATTTAAAAATCTTTTAAAAGCAAGGATGGACCTTGAACGTGTTTTCCATTTAATTAGAATTAGATTACAATTTCGTTTTGTTATTATATTTGTTTTTATGTCAGTTTCAAGAGAAACTCCTACAGATATTCATACTGTAGTAGGTTGTATTCATACCAAAAGTTCTTCTGATTTTAATGTGCCCTTTTTTATTCCAGAAAAATAATACAGCCTTACATTATGCTGCAGCATCTGGTTTGAAAGCTTGTGTTGAGGTATGTGTATCTAATAATTGTGAAAAGACAAGCTTAAACTCAAAGTGTTTCAATTTAATCATTGTTAAAATCATCATAAAAACATTTTGACAGTGCTTTTGAGAATGACAAAGTGTCAGGTCCTGATCATTAATCTGTTAGTTTAATTAATATGTAATTTTGTTGTTGACAGATGTTAGTACAGAATGGATCACCATTATTTCTAGAAAATGAAGATAATCATACTCCATGTGATTGTGCTGAACAAAATGGCCACAATGAAATAGCTCTGTATTTAGAGTCAAAAATGGTCTTCTCTGTAAGTTTCAAGTGAAATTTAGTACACGTTTGACCAATCATACCTTAGTCTCAGAGATGGAAATTATTTAGCCGAGCTAATCAGTAATAGTGTTCACAGCTCAAGTTAAAATGATGACTCATCTTTTCTTGAGACTATACTTGATATAGAAAAGACACAGAAACACAAAGCGAAATTCCTGGTTTGAAGTATATATGAAGGGATTATTTTTAAGCATTTCTTGGACTTTTGAAGACTATTTACATAAGCTTATATTCAAAACCCAAACCAACCCCAGAAATTGGTGAACCTTAGCCTTGTTATTTGTATGATATTAATTATTATAGAATGATGGTATACAAGAGGAAGAGGAAGATGAGTTATCCAATGTTCCTGTAGAGGTTTGTTTTTTACCTCTTGATATATTTTTCTTAGAATTAATCTCTTCTATAACTGTCGATCAGGGTCATTTTTTATTTTCAGCAGAATGTCATGTACTATTATATATATTTCAGGACTATTGTTCTGTTAATTTCAGGAATATTGTTCTGTTAATTTCAGGAATATTGTTCTGTTAATTTCAGGACTATTGTTCTGTTAATTTCAGGACTATTGTTCTGTTAATTTCAGGAATATTGTGGATTGAGAGCTCAAGATCTGCAGGAAGCTAAAGATCAGTTGTTGGTAGAAACAGCAGACATGTTGTCAGTCCCATTATTTACTGCTGAGGCTCTTCTTCGTAACCATGGTAACAACAATTTCTTTAGGGCTCATCAAAAGAGTTAACAAATCAATAAAAATTACTTACATCTGAAAAGGATCTTTTGCGTTGACTTAACAATCTCATTTGATTGGTTTGGTTATATTAGATATCAAAAAAAGAAATGGAATATTTCAGTGATTCTTTTTGTAGTGGGATATGAAAAATCAGAAGTCTTGACATTTGTGGAACAAAAAAAAAATATTATTCCTATTAATAACCAATTGTGTCTCTTACAGAATGGTCCAGAGAAGCATTATTAGAGGCCTGGATGACCAATCCTGTTCATTGCTGTGTAAAATCTGGAGTTACCACCCCTTCTACTATATATAGTGATGTACCAGAAGTACAAGAAGAATTGAGTAGTCCTCTACCCAGCCCCAGTAAACCTTTACCGACTGGTCTTGAATCATTGGTATGTTTTCTACAGGCCAACTATGGAAAGTACTGGCCATGTCATCAGGGGATTCTACCCACACCATGAATCACCTAGCAGACAACAATACATGTCGCCCACTGACTGAGCTATGCCACTGCACTACAGGTTTTTCTGTCAACTACATTATGAACATAAGTTTCAGTGCTGCTAAAAGTTATTTATTGAATTATATTTGTTAAGATGTTATTATTTTTTGTAGTGTGATATATGTACATGTCTATATACCCCTACTGAAGATTCTGTACAAATTGTTTGTGAACATCATTTCTGTACCGAATGTTGGGAAAGGTAAGCATGTATTTTGGCTCAGAAGTCAATCTTGTTATTACCTCTAAGCATAATATTGGGTCGTACCGAAAATTGTCCCAACTATCTTAATATAAATCAGCAAATGGAAGCTGTGAGCCATGTAAGCACTATGTTCAAATAACAGTGTGACGAGTTGCTTATTGGAGGGTCTGTTAATAAGTGTGTTGAACCTAGTAAGGCAGGATGTACTTTTTAGGATTATTGTGAAATTCAGGAGTAATAGACATAGTAATAAAATCAAATTAACCAACTACCAGTAGTCTTGTATTTATTATACACTTTTTATTCTCTAGATATCTGAATTTAAAGATTCAAGAAGGTGATGCTCACCATATAACTTGTCCTGCGTATGATTGTCCTATGTTAGTACCAGTTGATATAATAGAAAGAATTGTATCCCGTCCAATGGCTAGAAGATATTTACAGTTTGATATTCAGGTAAGACAGGTGTAGGGAAAAGTTCTTACCCAAGCATATGAGTTGAAAAGAGAAGCAAACGTGTTACCCAAGTGAGAAACAGGTGCCTGTGGAAGAGTCCAAACAAATAGATATCTAATTAATCTTTGAGATGTTCAACCCAGAGCAGTGACAAATAGATGTTAACTCTGTAAATTTTGATATTAATTGCAGGCGTTTGTGGAGAGTAATCCTGATATGAAATGGTGTCCGTATCCTGGTTGTGGTAGAGCTGTCAAGTTACCAGATCTAGATGGTTCAGCAGCTAGTAATGCTGGTCATCCTAGAATACCTACTGATACTTCTAGAGCTGTAGATTGTGGTAATGGACATTACTTCTGTTGGTAAGCACAAGTTTTTATGATTTTCTTCTTTATCTTTGACAATAGGTTTGATATTTTGGCTGTTGGTCCAAAGAAACAGCAATCAAGAAAGTAATATCTATATATTTTTTTTTTATCTGGTGCCTTATTATACCTTTTCTCTTATATTGATCATAAAGAATTGTTTCTGAAGGGATTGATGTTTATTTTTAGGGAATGTTTAAATGAAGCTCATGAACCTTGTAGCTGTGATAACTGGAAGAAATGGTATGAAAAAGTTGCTGAAGTTAAGCCAGAACAAAGTAAGTTACAGTTTTAAGTGTGGAAAGACAAACATAAGAACGTTTTAGAATACAGTTACTGAGTTTAATGTATTATCAGCTATAAAACCTTTTTGTCATTCACTTGTCAACCTCAGAATTTATATAATATGCTAGCAATTATATCCCATGAATTATACAAACTTTGGTATTCTTCAAAATCATTTACATGCCGGCATATCTCGATCAATTATGGAATTTTCACTAGGATTAGGTTGAAAAATGTATTTTTCTATAATGGTAGTGTCTGGTACAGAAATAGAAACAGAATCAGCAGCTAATTGTTTATGGTTAGTGACCAACTCTAAACCTTGTCCCAACTGTAAATCACCTATACAGAAAAATGAAGGTTGTAATCATATGAAATGCTCAAAGGTAGATAACTTTAGATATTTTTCCTGATTAAATCCCCATTGTGATGTATGACTTCATTCCCCACTGTTACTTTGTAAATTTAATAAATTTTGGTTGAGGTTTTCAGACGTAAAAAGGGAAACAAGCATGTCTTGTTTTAAATTTCAGTGTAAACATGATTTTTGTTGGGTGTGTCTTGAACAATGGAAGAGACACAACTCAAGTACTGGGGGATATTTTAAATGCAATAGATATGAAGTCGTCAAAAAAGTGGAAGAAAAAACATCACAAGTACTTACAGAGGTAATATTGTTAAATAAACATTTTATGAAGATATACCACTTCAATGTTAAAATTACAGCAAATGTCCCAAAAACCAGCCCTAAAGCTATTAACATAAGTGTGAAATATTGTAGCATAATGAACAAGATGAGCTTTTTGGTATAAGCAGTGTTGTTACCTCAAAGACAAATACTTGTGGCACATATTCTCAGAGCAGATAACAATTCATCAAGGTACTGTCTGAGCTTTTTATTCGACCACCCCAATCTCAAGGCTAGTGACTGTATCCTCTATTTTTGTTTTTTAGGCAGAAGAGAAAAATCAAAGAATGCAGGAATTAAACCGTTTTGTACATTATTACACTAGATTTAAAAACCATGAAAATAGTTTTACTGTAAGTTTGTCCAATACTTATTATTCAAAACAAAATTCAAATTTTTTCAGAAAAAGAGCTTTATGAGTATTTATGAGTATTTTTTTTTTATTGATTTTTATCCACCCTTTATATAATTACTGATTTTATTTATGTAAATATTTGATAATTTTGTAGTTTGAAGAACCATTATTAAGAACAGCTCGTAATAAAATGATGAAATTAGCTGAAGCTGTTACAGATCCAGGTATGCTTTTAACCATGTTTAATTGTAATCATTCTTTTACCACTTTTCAACCTAATGACAGTGCAAATGCAAAACTTGAAATTTGTGGAGAGTGACTGGCTTAAATTATTTTTTGTAGCTACAGCTAATGCTGAAACTAAGTTTGTAGAAGATGCAGTACACCAGTTATTAAAAGCAAGGCGTGTATTAAAATCATCATATGTATATGGATATTATTTAGATGGACCAGGGTATAAGAAAATAGTCTTTGAATTTATGCAGGTTTGTGGATTTAAACTTGAGTTTAGTTTGGACAGGTTCTAAATAATTTTTTCTAATATGACAATCAGAATATATTCAATAATTGACCTACTTTGATCTTGATTTAACACAGTTATTATAGTTCTGAATTTTTGGTGTTGCAGAAGAAAGTAAACATATAATTTCCCACGCTAGCAGTATAGAGATTTTCATCTGATTTTCATGAAACTTTGAATAATATCTAGTTGATTAATTCATGGTGTTGAGTTCAAACAATGTGATGATACCGTGAAAGTTGATCAGTTTGTCTAGCTCGGGTTGTAATTGTACAATATTTACAAAGAGAGTAATATTGTTATTTCTTCTGCTATAATTATGTAGCTTCATCATTACTTCCATTACAGACTGAATTAGAGGAATGTACAGAGATTTTATCACAGATGGTGAATCGTTTATATCTACGAACACCAAGAAAGAAAATCATTGACCAGGCATTAATTGTTCAGAGAAAGCGCTTAGAGTTTTTAATAGCAATATCAAAAGGCTTAGTACCACCTGAAACACCTCCTTCATTACGCAAAAAACGACGAAGAAAATATAGCATGGAATTAGAGGATGTAAGTAACATTTTTATATAGTATATCTGCTAGTACTCATCAAGAAAGTTGTAGTCTGTAGTCTATAAAGATCTGTATTTTCTTACAATGAAGAAAACAGATATATTTGAGTGCTGAATGGAAATATTGTTTAAAACCTCTTGTTCAATGAGATATTTTGGCCTTATGATATCTTGATTAGAATTTGAAACATGTATAAACATGAGCTTATTTTTTTTCACTTAAAACTATATAAAGTACTTATTTAATGGATGATTGGGTCCACTTATAAAATGTTTGTACCATGGAAAAAAAAGTTAAAAAGAGCTCCTCATTAACAGATAATTTCTATTGGTATTTTAGGAAGATTTAAAAAAAGCCATAATGGCATCAATAAAAGAAGTAGATCCATCTAATCCCTGGATTAAGGATGCCTCTGGTCGTCATACCAACGTTATGGCTTATCTTGATTGGCCAGCAGAAGATGATTCTGATTCTGAGGCTGAGATTTCTGTCACTTCATTACGTAACTATGGTATTTTATACTTCTGCTTGCTTTCTGGTTTATTTGGGCTGTGAATGGGTATCATTTTGAAATATCTGGAATACTTTATATGCAAGATTTGAATGTTGTATAACATTGTTCATTAACTATAATGAACAATATTTATTTTTCTTAATTGTTTAAATTATGTTTTATTAAGATTATTATTAAAAAAAAATTTATCCTCTGAACATTAGAAAGCATGTTTAAATGATGGAGCTGTAGTGACACAGTCAGTTGCTTGCTAGTTAGATTTTGTGAGAAATTCTGTTATTCTAGTAACAATAGGTTCTGCTTGCTACAAATAGTCCTATTGATTAAAAACTTTCTGCTTTTGATCCATTTTGACACATACTTCAAGCAAAGCTCCATTTCATTTTGTTCATTTATCAGAATATTGTTCTCTCTGTGACAAGGTTGTATTAATTTTATTTGACACAATTGAATGATTTTGATAGTTTCTATGCATTTAAGTTTCATCATCAGAGAGAACATATTTTGTTCTAATGGTATTATTACATTTCAGGTAAATGTTATAAAACAGGGTGTACACGACCTAGAGCTCCCAACCCACGTACCGGAGAAATACATGACTACTGTAGTCCAGCTTGTCAACGGGCTGATCAAGAAGACCAAGTTGTTACAGAACAAAAAGGTATTTAAGATAAAGCTATTGAATTGTTATCAAGAACCGTGTCTTTGTCAAGTAAAAGTAAGACAAGTTTCAAGTTAGTACTGTCCTTTGCAACTTTTCCCATTGCCCTGACATACAGTCAGCTATCTCTATGTATGTATAACTAAGGTGTCTAACAGACTGTCAATTTTGTAGAAGAAATACCAGAGGTTATATTAGATGAACATATGGATTTATTACGAGCATTAGAGATGTCTAGATTACAGTATTTACGTGAAACAGGGTTAATACATGTACCAACAGAGTTAGATGCCAGGTAAGCTGGTCCTTAAGAATAATATACAAAATATATCCTACAATCCCTACCATCACCTTCTTAGACATTCAGTAAGTGTATATTTGACCAGTATCAGTGAATAAAGGAAGGGTTTAGGGCTTAGTTTAAGATACATGTGTTGAAGAAGCAACATGAGTTCAGATTTTTCTACCCATTTTCTTATTGTTAAGGATTCAGACCAAGATAAATCCTTACCTCTTGTGCCACTTCCTAAGAATTTTTCTGGTTAAAAGGTTTCTCACAACATACTTTAAGTCAAATTTGACTTGAAATATTTACAGTGAACCATCTACTAGTGGGGTAGGAGTACAAACAAGCCCTAGAGTAGAACAATCCAGTGAACAACGTCCCAGATCTAGTAGTCTAGGATCCAAGAAGAAAAAGAAAAACCTTACACCAATGGAGGAACTGGATATTGAGCTACAAAGAGTTCTGGAGATCTCTTCTACAATACCTAAAGGTAGGGCAATTGATTGATAATGTCTAGCCATATTTTTGCATGATAATAAAACTTTGAGATACAGTTGCTATGATGTTTGTTGTTTCAATCATGTATAATTATAGAAATTATTTTAGTCTGTTCAGGTTATATTACACCCTCAGTTGACTCATTTTATCTTGACCTTCACTCTGTCTATTGCAATAAGATCTATTTTTGCTAATGTAATTGGCAAATTACAGTTCTTGTAAATACTGAGTCACTGGAATCAACCATGAGATAATGAAGTTTGATGTTTTTACCAGTAAGTTTGAAATTGTTTTCAGAAATTGAACAATCTCTTATTATAGGTGAAGTTCCATCAGATGTTCAAGATCTCACAGAATCTAAACCCAAAAAAGATAACTCTGTTCTGTCTCATAGAAAATATAGTCACAGTCGTTTTGATGAAATTACTTCAACAATTGTTCAACGTGTGCCAAATAAAAGTGTGGAGGATCTGTATCGAACTGACTCATCCAATAGTGTTCATCCATCTTCTTGCTCATGTGAAAAATGTCTTGAAGAGCTGGGAGCCTGTGCTAGGTCTGAAGAAGACCAAGTCAGAAAATCTTGGGGTGCTGCAGCAAATACTTTTGGCATCATAAAAGACTTATCTGTGTCCAACATTCATACAAATGAAGGAGATAAAACACAACATTTCACGTCAAAAGACCTGGCGGCCATTTTCAATAAGGATCCAATCTTACTTCATGAAGCCTGTAGAGGAAAAATGTCTCCTGCATCTTTGATAGAAAAAAGTGCCTTTGCTCATCCGCAGACGACATCCCAGAATGCACCGAAGTGTTTTCAACAACTTAAGCAGACAGATACAACAAATGAATCAGAATACAGCTCCGAGGAAAGCAGCCAATCAAATGATGAGATGCATGTGGATAAAGCATGTAAAGCAGCCATCTTGAGTCTGTCCAAACATCCTGAATTTGGTTTGGAACCTTTAGCGTTCTCCTCACCTATATCTAGTACAGAGGATCAAGATGAAGTTAATACAGAAATGAGTTCATTGCAACAGGAAGATTCAGGACATGTCTCTTTATTAGAAATGGCTGAAAATCTGGTTCAAATGACTGAGGAAATGAACATACAAATTCAAGAAATGAATGACAATCAGTGTTTAGAAAGTGTGAATGAAGAGTGTTCAGAGATTACTGATAGTGCTGAGATTAGTGTTAGTGCTAGTCTTAGAGATAGTGCTGATAGTGCTAATGATATTGGTATTGATAGTGCAGAAACAACCCAACCACTAAATGACACTACACCACAGTCTTTTTTTATTTAACAACTACAGATTAGATATTTTATTTAGAAAATCTGAAAGCTAGAGGTTGCATTTTTAAGTATGATCTTCGTGAGTTCCACTCATGTGTTTCTGATACACAATCCTTATTAGAACAGCTTTATTGGAAATGAGTCCTTCCAAAATTGTACATTAGGGATATAAGCAAGAAAACTTGAAAATGAGAATATTCTACAATGGTAAGACTTGTAACTTTAAAATGTTATTCTAACCTAAGATTTTCTAGCACTGTAAATTTAAGTATATTGATGTTGTGTTTTTAATATGTAAATCTTTGTAAACAATCAAATTGTAGCTTTTTTAATATTCATAGAAACAAAACATTGGAAATCAAATATCAAATTCTAATTTCTAATCCATCAATAAAATTGTGGCTTATTTTTTAAAGATTTTGATTGATTTATATATTTAGAAACTTTAAGTTTTTCATATATTAATCTACAGAAGCAATGTCATATTTAATTTATATTTTTTATAAAAGGGCTTCAATTATCAAAATTTACAGTCTTTCAATTATATTCTGAATGAACTTAATTTCTGATAATTGTTTCACTTTTTATACATGGGACGTATATTGCTGTTGCCCCTGTCTGTCGGTCCTATTGTGAAGACAATAGAGACTACAGTTTTTATTTGATTTTAATGAAACTTGATATGATAATATATATTTTTAAGATTTTGACGATTTTTCGATGAATGGTTTTTGAGTTAATGCCCTTGACTTAGGAAAAACGCATTAGAGACTACAGTTTTCAACTGGTTTTAATGAAACTTGATGTGATAATGTATATTGATAAGATTTTGGTCAAGTTCGAATTTGATAAACGTTTTTTTAGTTATTGCCCTTGACTTAGGAAAAACGTGACAAAATTTGTTTTTGAACACATAAGAGACTAGTTTTCTATTGATTTTAATGAAACATGGTGTGATCATGTATATTGATGAGATAATTTGATGTATTTGGGTTATTGATATTGAGTTTTAAAAATTTTTGTGGAATTTCTCAGAATAAATAACGGGCAGTAAATATATATATCATTGAATTCAAACTATTAAAATTTCTTCAATATGAGAAAATTCATTCTTTATTCACTAAAGACTTTTATTATTTCTGACAGCTGCCAGTGGGTGTATGTTACCTTGCCTTCAAGCTATCTCTAGAAAATGTTTCTTCTGCAATTCATTACTATCTAAAATATTTTAGCTCTTCAGTTGGTAAAGCCAAGCTAAGCTAGAAGCTAAAGTATAAAATTATATTTGCTTTTGATTCAAATATATTGAAAGGTTGGTATTCTGTGGTTAATTCTGCTCATAAGGTTTTTCTGTATTTTTTGAAAATAAAGAGACAAGCCAAACAAGCAAAATAAAAATATTGAATAAATGTTTCATTGATCTTGTATCAGCTATTTGACAGGATATAGTCATTTAGGATGTATTCCATCATTCAATATTATATTATATATTTATTTTCTCACTTGTGTGCAATAATAACACTTTCAACCCAGAAAATGCTCAATGTTAAAAACTTTGTTTTGCACAAACAATATATTCTGGGAAAACCAAATAGTTAATCAGTTATGGAACATCTAGTTGAAGTTTTAGCTTGCATAGAAAATAAAGCACTGAGCTTGATTATGAGCTTTTGTTAGAATGTCAATAAAAAAATATCAAGAATTGTTTTAAAATTGTACTTGAAGAAAGGAAATCAAGCATATGATATGGAGAAAATAA